AAAAAAACCCCCCCCCCCCCCAAAAAAAAATCATGGTTTCCACAAAAATATTAAGCAGTAAAAACTGTTTTCAGGATTGATAATAATAAGTAATGTTTCTTGATAAAATCAGCATATTAGAATGATTTCTGAAGGATCATGTGACACTGAAGACTGGACTAATGATGCTGAAAATTCAGCTTTACCATCACAGGAATAAATTACGCTTTAAAATATATTAAAATAAAAACACTGATTTTAAATTGTAATAATATTTCACAATATTACTGTTTTTGCTGTACGTTTGATCAAATAAATGCCCCAAAAGCCCCAAAAATAACCCACATTTTTAATGGCATTGTATGTTTAAGTACAATATTTAAATGTTAAATTCATTTTTTAATGATTTGTTTTGTTAAAAATAATTAAATATTTTACAACTTCTAATTAAAAATGCACTGCTTTAAAAACAAAACAAAATACTCTAAAGCTAATTATAGATAAAGCACTGATAAAAATATCCAAATATCAAAAATATCTGGAAACTAAACTGTTTTAATCAGTATAGTCCACTAAAAAATGTAGTTGGCTTTATATTTAAGAACTTTTTTTTTTAAACAACACGAAATAGCAATACCTCTATAAAATTCATGTTTCATCAGCACAGCCTGTTTATTTGTGATGAAACTAGCGCCCTACATTCACACCGGATGCTTTCTTTAATCTGCTGCCAGCTCCTGGATGTGTCACTGACCTCTCATGTCTAGACTTGAAGCTCTCTGGCTGCTGTCGAACTTCCACTTCTTGATCTTGAAGTAGGGACTCGCTCCCTCCAGGCTGGCGTGTCGGCGGAGCTTGGTGAAGAACTGCAGCATGGGGCCCTGTGGGGCCCCGCCAGAGGAGGACAGGGCCATGGATGAGGCCGACGCACACTCTCTACCGTTACCCATGATGCCTGTGCTCCTCCTGACTCCTCCTCTGACCTCCATCTGTTTGTGTTCGCAAGATTACATGAATGCAATACAATCGGATGATCTGCTGTATGCATCCAGCATGTGTTTGTGACGCAAATGAACTTTGAGTTGTCCGTTTGCGTGGATTGTTGTGTGTATTGTGATGTGTCAGTGGGTGAGTGTGTGTGACTCACTAGACACGGGCTGGACAGCTCAGGACCGGCCGCTGTGATGCTCTCAAAGAATGTCGTGTCCACAGTGGAATTGAGAGCGTCGCCAGGAAGGGCAGAGCTGGGACTGAGACTCCGGTTGGTCAGGGCAGTCTGGGGCAGTGAAAATACTGGTGGCTGTGCATGTGGCAAACACAATGGGCGGTTATTATTTCGGCAGTAATAAGAAACCTGATTAAACATGATGCCTGGTACAGATATAAAAATGTTTATTAAAGATTCAGACTCAATAGCTTTATTGAAGCAGCATTCTAACATCAAGTCCTAATCAGGGGTGCATTTCCTGTACAACAACGTAACTCGCTGATTAACCACCATAGTACGATGCATTGTTGTGGAAACAAACTAGCTAGTCACGACTATTTCCCGAACACAGTCGCATCTCCGTCGTTTGAACCACATTAGTTCGACATTGTTAATGACGTCACACATGTGTGGTGGAGGAATAACTTTGCTATTTAATCGATTAGGCCCCGATCAGACAGAACAGAGCTGTATTTTTTTAAGTTTTCTGGTAATATGACAGTTTACTTAACAGCAAAAACCAAAGGTTTTAGAGCGTTCGCGCTATAATCCTTTGATTAGACTGACAGGACAGCTGATTTGGTGTTGCCTAGCAACATAAAAAAAATGCAAAAAAAAACGCATTCGGTCTGATCGGGGCCTTAGACATCTCTAAGATGCTGCTGTATTGAACATGGCACCTGATGACTAATTTACTATTTTTTGTTTCCTGTCATTTTGCTTTATTTGATGTTTGATTCATCGCGGGTTCCCTCTTATGTCAGTTCCGGGGTGCACATGCGCACTCGTCAAAAATGGCGCTTATAGAGGATGCACAAAAATACATAGATTAAAATGCATTTATATTTAGATAGAATGGAATATATAGATTGTACTGCATGTCGAGAGCTGTAGTTCCAACCACGTAAGTTTGCGACGCTGTTTGCGAATGTTCGTTTGAACTATGGTTTTAGGAAACACCGAATCGTTGAACTATGTTGGTAACAGCAAAACTTGCGACCATAGTTGGCTAACGTTGCTTTTTGGAAATGCACCCCTGGTGAGATGAAGCATTTTTAAAATTTGACACCCAGTCAGGTTATATTTGATGTTTCTGTAACACTTCAGTATAGGGACCAATTCTCACATTAAATATAGTTGCTTATTAGCATTTCCATTATTGACAGATTGGCTGTTTATTAGTGGTTATTATAAAGCACATATTCTGCATGACCATATTCTACATCCCAATACCTAAACTTAACAACTACCTTACTAACTATTAATAAGCAGTAGGAGTTTATTGAGGCAAAAGTTGTAGTTAATTGTTTGCTAATAGTGAGAATTGGACCTTAAAATAAAGTGTGACCAATGTTTCTTACCCACCTTATTCATCTATTTTCTGAGACTTCCGATTTATTAGTTGCTATAGTTAAACAACTTGCAGAATAACTATAATTAGAACAGTAAATGATAAAACTTGCGCTACAAACCAGATTACAATTTTACAATAAATACAAAAATAAAATAATAGTATACGAAATGCCAGTTTGAATATTTTTGTTTTGTGCAGCTAAAAAAAACGAATGACACCAGAAGCCTCGCACATTCAAGTTTAAAAAGGTTGCTCTCTTACATTAAAAATAAGGTGGATATAGCTATGCAAGCAGAATTTTGGACCAATGAGATTTGACTGTGGGAGGGGCTACCTTATGGAATGACATGATAGCAGAATGTTCGCAATACTGTGGATAATTTCTGTATCTTTTTCCAGCATGATGAAAGAACAAGCTACTATTTTAACCATTTTTTCTTAATATTTGATTATATTAGCAAAAGTTAATACATTTATAAACACAGTTTTCAATTTATTTCTAATCAATAATTGAGAAAACTAATTAAATTTAGGAAAATGCACCACTGTTGGAACGTTTGAGGTGTACTATTTTTTATGTTTTTGCAAGAAGTCTCTTATGCTAACCAAGGCGTTTATTTGATAAAAAATACAGTAAAACCAGTAAAAATTCTGAAATATTATTACAATTTTAAATAACTGTTTTCTAATCGAATATGTTTTAATATTTAATTTATTCCTGTGATTCAAAGCTGAATTTTCAGCATCATTACTCCAGTCTTCAGTGTCACATGATCCTTCAGAAATCATTCTAATATGCTGATTTGCTGCTCAAGAGACATTTTTTATTATTATTATCAGTTAAAAACTGGTTAATATTGTTTTTGTGGAAACTGATTAAAAAAGGTCAAAAGAAGAGCATTTATTTGAAATAAAAATCTTTTGTAACATTATAAAGATTTTTACTTTCACTTTTGAACAATTTATTGTGTTCTTGATGATAAAAGTATTAATTTCTTTCAAAAAACAAACTCTTACTAGTATAAATGATGTATACTGTTTCACATGCTATGTTTTTAGTAGTCAGTATATTTGTACAGTATATACTAGGTTAGAATAGTATTCTGAACACAACCGATTTCTTGTCATGGGTCACATCGATAGCTGCTTAGGTTAAAAAAAGGTACAATTTCTGAGATACAGTAGGATTTATCACTTGTCATCATGACATGGCTAAAGTAAAGTACAAGTAAAAGCTAACATGTTAAAACATTAATGACCCCAATATCTATAAATCCATTGCTCCACTGCATAAACGTCTCCTTACACACCACATCACTTAACAAACTGACAATCCATCACGACCTCAGCGCTTTTAACTGACCACGAAAAATACGATCTCCGCCCTTGTTATGACTGACATCATATTCTCCTATTAGCAGAGCAATGTCACCTGAAAAACTGAGAGGCTGGATTTAGCGACGGGGCGCGTTGTCATGGCAATACTGTTCTCTGATGACTCACACTCGTGGATGGTGAGTATCGTATGCATAAGTATTTTAATATAGTTTTAGATTAAGTACATATCAAATTAAATATGTAATGCATTAAGTTCTTTCAAAAAATGTTTTACATTTATATACACATTTATATAAATATATACACATATTTAATTTTATATCTATTATATTGTTTTTATATTATAAAAATTATATATTATTCTTAAAATATCAAATGTAAAATTACAAATTAAAGAATAAGATTTTTATTAAATCATTAAATGCTAATAATTTAAATACTTTTTGATGTAGTATATCTCAAAATAAATGTGTGTGTGTGTGTATATATATATATATATATATATAAAATGTAATATATATTTTTTTTTTAACAATATTAATAATCATTTTTTGTTGGCTGAAAGTGTCGTTTAGATAGTCGAAGATGAGTTAACTGTGCTGATAGTAGACAAATTGCATTGCGAAAAGTAGTCAACCAAAGAAACTGTCTTATCTGCATCCTGCTTAAAAACAGATTTATGCATAACTCCTGTTTTAATAATATATAAGTTGATATATATACATAAATCACCATTTTAATCATCTTATTCTTTTAGTTGTAATCAAAAAGTTATGTAATTTAACAAATTAATTAAATATGTAATGCATTAAGTTCTTTCAAAAAATGTTTTACATTTATATACACATTTATATAAATATATACACATATTTAATTTTATATCTATTATATTGTTTTTATATTATAAAAATTATATATTATTCTTAAAATATCAAATGTAAAATTACAAATTAAAGAATAAGATTTTTATTAAATCATTAAATGCTAATAATTTAAATACTTTTTGATGTAGTATATCTCAAAATAAATGTGTGTGTGTGTGTATATATATATATATAAAATGTAATATATATATTTTTTTTAACAATATTAATAATCATTTTTTATTACTTATTATACATACATTTTTATGACCTTACAAATAAATAAATAAAAAGAGTACTTTCAAATATTAATTCATCAAATTACATGAATTTGTAAAGGTGCTTAGGATAATCAGATAATCAAGTTTTTTTTTGTACAAAATATATGCTCTCATAAATTTTACCCAAAATATTGATGTTGACAAACAAGTTAATGGCCGTTATTCATCAACGGCTCATGCATCTGACAAGCCCAGATGTAAATGTAAAACGCATAGATAAATGAGTAATGAAAGCTGCAGTCTGCTGCGTCAGCAAGCGCTGTGAATAGGAGCGCTCTGTGTCTAGAGTGGGTGGTACGAGTGAGTGGGCGGCTGACCTTCGACCCTTCTCCTGTGTTTTCTTGCTGTGATCGAAGAGCGCTGCTTCGTTGAAGGACACCCGGCGGCCGGTTGTGCCCGTGGAGAGGAAACGCTCTGTCTCCATGTCGTGGGAGCTGGCTGCCGACAGGCAATCTGACTCATCGACGCGAATCGTAATCTCTGTGCGGGGAGAGACAGATTAGACCAGAGGACGGGTTTGTTTTTCGCATGATGCCCTCAGCTGATGTATGTGAGACTGTCACTTAAACTTGACCTTGACACTTTACCTGAAGCCATATGTAAATACACATGGAAATGCATTACATCTTTTCATAAATAAGTGTAACTGGGAGGTTGGCATGTAACATGGAATTTAACTTTTTTAGGGAAGTTCTTACCGTGCACTGGCTGGCCCTCCTCAATATAGCTGGTATTACTTTTCTCGGTGTCATCGCTAGCCCTGAGGCAAACAATGACCCTTCAATGCAAACACGTAACCAGTCAAATTCAAATTCATGTTCATCTCATTCATAACATGCAGAACTGGGTCACTATCAAAATATGATGACAAACATGTTCCGGGACTTCACACATAAATGGAAAAAATAAAAAAATAAAAATATAAAAGGCAGCATTCTATAGTCAATTCTATTGTTCCACATCTTTTTACTGTTTAATCACACTTTTTATTATTTTAATTTTGTATCAATTTATCCTTTTTTGTATTAGATTAGATTAGAATAGATTAGAAAGCAAATAATATATTTAATGTGAAAAGAATGTTTCTATTTTGTTTTAATGGTGTTGTCAGTCAGAAAGTTGTGGAGAAGTACTTCCTGTTGTACTATTATTTAAATAATGTTAAGTTAATACATTTTAATTTTGCATTAAAAACCCCTTCATATTATATAACATAATAGTATATCAATATATATATATATCTTGTATATCAATATATATATATATATATATATATATTATATATATATATCTTGTATATCAATATATATATATATCTTGTATATCAATATATATATATATCTTGTATATCAATATATATATATATCTTGTATATCAATATATATATATATATATATATATATATATATATATGTATGTATAATATATTAATATATAAACATAGCATATTTTTCTGAAATATATACATGCATGTGTGTGTATTTATATATACATAATAAAT